AACAGGGTATCTATTTTCACAATACAGGAACTGGGTATGGTTTTCAGTGATCTCGCTCTGGAACAGGGTATGAATTTCAGCGATTTCACTCTGGAACAGGGTCAGGGTTCAGAGGGCTCAGTGGCATATCCCTACCCTAAATGGGCAAGAGTACCTCCCTTCCCCCACCCCGGGGAATGACCTGCTCTTCAGCCTTTGAAATAGCTATATACAAAAAAGGAATAAAAAAGTTAACATTATTACTTGTTACCTTACTTATTCCCAACTGGGAAATATACTTCCAAACATCATTTGAAGAGCTGTATGAAGCATTTTTTCTAGCCACAGGGTCATCATATAGTTTTTCAGCTTGACGAAACTAAGAAAAATATTGCCATTGCGTTAAGGCTTTTGATATCTTTACTCATAAATATTTTCTGAATGGTATGGCCAGACTAACCATGAAAGTATGCAATTATTTTGGTTTGTCAAAACTATAACCCAAATAATATGGTATAATAATAATTATGAAGGAAATTCCAAGAATGCTAAAAATTGCTTTGCAGCACTGAATATCCATTTCAACTTTACAGTTACGATAAGTGTCACACCATGGTTTTCATTCAATCACAGTCGGGAGTTAGGGGTGGGTGCATTACTGGGTGCCCATTGAGCCTGAGTGCCAACCCATGGTTTCCATCCAATCACAGTCAGGAGTAAGGGGTGGGTGCATTACTGGGTGCCCATTGAGCCTGAATGCAAACCCATCTTTTCATCCAATCAGAGTCAGGAATTAGGGGTGGGTGCATTACTGGGTGCCCATTGACCCAAGTTTGTTATACCTGACACACCTATAAAAATTACATGGCACTTGTTTGATTACCTTTTGTTCTAGAAATTTAAAGCACTGTTGATTGAGAACTTCCACRAATTCAGACTCAAAGTCTTGATCACTGTACCATGCTCCACCAGTAACTGAAATGTCTGGTTCTAATGTGAATAACATGTAGACCTTCTTTTTTGATGCCTAGATCAAGACCAAACAAGACCACACATGACATGGGATTAATTAAGGCCAAAAACAAACAAAATGTGTTTTTCCTGTTGCATGAGAAAATAATTGGGGTTGGTGGGTCAGTTTTTTTTTGATGATACARCAGTGGGAAATTAGCTTACTGGGAACCCTGTGGTGCATTTTGGAATAAAAAWTTATATTAGGGTCGGAAAAAAAGGCAAGAAAATTAGGGTCAGTCATGCAACAGGAAACACACTTATTTTTTTGTTTGGCCTAATGGTGGGGGGTCTTACTGGGTATACCCACAGACCCTAGCTCATCTGTAACGGGAATGAATTCATTAATTAGTCCTTGTCTTACAAGGGTAGCTACTGTAGCACTTAATAGCCAGTGGCTAACAAACCTGAATTAACCTCTACTCACATACAACACCAAGTAATGGAATCAAATCTGGGTCACATTGGTGAGAGGCGAGCACTAATTAAGAATATAATAAAAATAGTAATCACCAAGAATGTCAAATTTGACATTTGTTTCTGGGGTGAAACACCTAATCCGCATTGGCTCTGCAGCCAATACAACTCCATCTTTTGCTTATATTAACCAAATGATAACTCACTCAGTCCGCTAAAAATTTGAGTTTATGCATGAAAATGGTTGGAAAAAGTAAAAGTAACGAGTTTTGGACCTGCATTCTTCATATTCATTGACATAAGGAACAGCTAATATTCTAAGTTCTTATTATGGAATTACTTCTTTCAGTTTTGATTTCTTAAAATTACTGTCGGTCATGTGTTGGTTAAGCTTTGGGTGACTATTGGCCATGTATTGGCTGAGTATTGGCCAACAGACAGGCAATGCATGACCAATGCACCTATTGTTGATCAATGCTCAGCCAATACACAGCAAGAAATATTAAGAATTTTTTGACTGTTGTCATAGGCCAATGCATGACCATTGCTTGGCCGACAGTTGGGCAACTTTATGGCCAATAGTGAGCCAAATGATGGTGAACTGTTAGTAAAGTTGCRGGGAATAGTCAAATGTGAAATCAAGGATGAATTAGGCAGGATTTTATATAGGAAGTGAACAGTAAATATCTCTATGTCAGGGTTTCCTCAACCCCTCCATCAATTCACTCTACAATGAATACTCCCTGGTTCCATGCACYAGTAAATGTTACTCACAGCAACTGACTTGATTGCCTTAATGAGCTTCTTACTCTCCAGATTCTTCAAGATTTTATTCAGCTGTGTCAACTGCAGGTTACATTTATATCTGATGTCTCTTATCCAAATACCTTTAAAATAAACATCATTTACCAATCAAATATCATGGATGCAGGAGACAGAGCATAGGGACTATTAAGACCATCCCCAACACCCTTATGGCAAGTATCTTTTCCTGGTGTTTTCAAAAGCAAAGAAACTCTGCATTTCCATGAGCAACGACCAAGGTCTGAGACCAATATATATAGCATTGCTTACTGAAGAAGATGCATAATACCTTTGTTGCCAGCTTCTTCTATAATTTGATAAACCACTTTCTCTTCTACTTCAAAACCCTTAGTTTTTCTAATGAAAAAAAATCATTTTAACACTTTGACGTGACTGGGCAGTGCTCTATGATTACTTGTTAAGCAATGATATAAGTTGTGCAAAGTATGAGACTGCATAACTTGAATGTTCATGTCAAATTTGAGGCACCAAACACTTTTACAATTTTTACAAAATAGAAAACAAAGGGGGCATTTTTATGCAACAATTTTGAGGCTTTGGGGGAGGGGAGGCAGATTTTTTGACAAGTTACTCCCTCCATCCACCCTACTGATCCCAGATAAAAATGAATGGTCCTTAAAATTAATTGTAGCATGGAATACTCACTGAGCTGCCTGTACATCTTTGTATCTGTATAATAGCTGGGATCCACTTCGAAGTAATTCCAATCTACCCTGATGACATAAAACTAGCATTACGACAGGGAAACCAACAGGGAGAAAAATAACTATCTTATATTTTGATATTTAAGCACCTTATTGACACATAAAATAAAGATTTTGATACGCCTATTATCAGTTCTTAGATATTGCCTTGTTGTTAGAAATAAACACTTTGATTTATGAAGTTGTAATTAAGTCAGAGAGAGAAAAGTTTAGTTTATACTTACAATGGATAACAAACGGTTAATGGCGGTAACGCGCTGTTGTGGAGGAATTCCAGGCATATCTTGCTGAATAACCTGGTCGGATATACCTTTAGGATTCAGTTTACAGAGCTCACATATCCTTTCTTCCAAGTCTACTGCTCCTACAGCTTCTTGTTTTACTACGATATCAGCGACAGCCATCTTGAAAATCTAAAACGAATTATGAAACAATGGGGGAGGGGAGGGTAAGGAATTAGATACCAGGGATTTTCATTGGGGAAATGACGCCTGACGATTTTGAGTTTTTTTCTTAAAATTCTGTAACTCGAAGCCAATTTTCTAGATTTTTGAGATAAGATACCTAAAATAGCTTATTTTAAGAGCTAAAACTGTGTTAAAACACAAATGCACTGATGGATGAGAGTGATAGTTCATTATGTGTAAAGTCTGCCAAGTCGGCGTTCCTTGATCTGGTTGCAAGAGTTGATCCAGCCCAAGCCATGGATTTTGTTGAATGGGTGTCGGAACAGTGCAACTGCATGCTTTCAGAAACTACAATGAATTCTGACGAGGATGAAGAAGAACAAGAATATAAAGATGGCATTATGGACAGAATAGTTGAGGATTTGAGAAAGAGAGTACCTTTTGAAGGAGTTTTATCTTCGGAGAAAATCATGTTTCCTGAATCAGAACAAGTAAAGGTAAGTTTCGATCTTGATCTTTTAATTGATATGGATATGCCTGTGTGGAAGATAAATATACCTTTACCTAAAGCTTAGTTTCAGTGTTTCCTTCTGGAAACAAAAACATTTTGATTCTCTGAATATAATCTAACATAATGTACTTATTTCAGGCATGTCTGAAACCTTCCACAACTATACACATTGATGCCTTTCTTTACAATGATGAAGAAATAGAAAAGCTTTGTGATGAAGGGAAAATCAATCGTCATCACTGCAATAGCTGTGGGTCACACGATATTAAACCACTAGGTGAGTTAGAGAAGTAACAAGCCCTTTTTCCACAATTTAGCTAAAAGATGCAGATGTTAAAAGGTAATTTTGAAATTATAAAATTCCAGTGTCCCTGCTCCAACAGAAAGAGAAACAACCAACTCTGCTCACAAGGCAACTGGGATTCAAACCCTGGGCCGGACCTCAAAGGTGAGAGATGAGTGCTTTACTACCACAACATCCTGACTCTCCTTCTATTATCTAATTAATCAAATTTCATTTTATTTATTATTTTTAGATTTTATCTCCCATTCCATGTCACAAGATCAACTGACTTATATTTTTAAAGACATTCTACCAAATTTGCTGCCTAGTATTGAAGGTGCACAATTAGTTGATGTTGGATCGCGGCTAGGAGCTGTTCTCTATGGTGTAAGTGAGTTTTTCAAATAATTCAATACTTCAATCGACTTTTTTTGAGTTCCAAATTTCTGCTGTGTTTCTTGATTGCTTGATTACAGACTCATTTACTCAGGGTTAGCTTCATATCAGTTTCTAAATTAATTCACCAATACCAACAGTTAAGTAAATAATTCACAGCTTCAATGATACAAACACTTTGAAATTCCATGGACCTTCACTAGAACACATAAGGTATTCTGCACACTTATTTAGGTTAAACCTGAGCAACAGATAACTCTGGAGTACTGTTCTGTGATGTTTTTGAATTAAAATGATAATTTTCTTTCTCCTGTGCTTTTCTCTGCATCATAGGCTGCATTATATAGTCCAATGAAAAATATCTTTGGTGTTGAAATGAATAAAGAGTTTTGTCAAATACAACAAGAAATTCTACAAAAATACAAACTGGATAAAAGAGTTAAGGTAAAGACTTGTTTCTGTTGTAGTTGATGTGTCATATCCTAAAAGGGTTAATGTAAAGACTGTCTTGTTAATGTTGTAGTTGATGTGTAATATCATTTTGGGGATTGGGCTGTATCATCCGCTTGAATCTAATTAAATATGATACGGTCAGAAAGATTCAAAGATTTGCTGTGTAGCGGTCGTTATATTATTTCACACATGGGAATGTGAAGTGAAGCTCATATTTATTATTGCCATCATCCATTGTATCGCTGTACTATAGGAACTGTTAATTAAAGAAAATGTAAGTAGAAGATGTTTGCTAGTAAACACTAGTGTGGACTGCGTCGGTGTTTCTAATGAAACAGTTATCATAGATTGATAAATTTTACACTGTAGTGAAAATAGGAACTTAACGTCAGTTCCTATTTTCACTACGGTGTAAATTTTATCAATCTAGGATAACTGTAAGTAGAAGAAATGGAAGCAGCGTTCTCAACACGGCAGTTTTTCATGGAAGTTATGCGTAGAAAGAATGTGGGTGTGTCAACTAAAGAAAAGGGGGGGTTGTAACAAACAAATTCAGCCCTTTCCACAGTTCGGTGATTTTAGTTGTAAATTATACGTATGGCCCTCTTTTGCATGACTCAGTAACCAATTATTAATTCTTTTAAATAAAGATTATATGTTCTGATATATGCCAACAAGAATTATTACTTAGAAATGGTAAGTTTTATCCTTTATTACCTTCAGTTCAGTCAATAGGTATTTGTTTTAGTATCATTCACCTATCAATGAAAGCAATTCCGTAGTAAAAGTAAAAAATATGACCACGATATCGTGTATCACCATGTAACATCATGCAACACCATGTAACAACATGTAACACCATGTAACATCAT